CAAAGCATTGATGCTAACGAAAATTATGAACGTGTCTTTGAACCTTGCTCGAAAAGTACTCTACATTGTACTCAACGCGTGACATCCATCACACAAGTCTCCTATACATAAAACCTGTACCTTATTAGTGGTGATTGATCCGAACTTTGAATCTTCAAATGGTCATAGAAAATATTTGCACTAGACTTTTAGTGTAATATGCCGTAATAATAGCCTTCCACATAGCATTTTGCCTGTTGTGGTGCTCTCGAAAACTTCAATGTATACTTCTTTCTCTGCCATCGGTGCGAAGAAAGTAATCGCTGTCTTTATCCTCCTTATATTACTTCCTTTTCTATGCATCGTCGAAGTACAAGCATACCCTAGATTCGCTAGATTTACGTCTGTACTGCCCTGATATACCCCTGATGTTAAAGATCCCCTATATTACATATGCACTACTGATCAATGTAAGAAGCTAAGTAACTTGAGGTCTGCCCGTCCCTCCAGCTGTTGTTCATTATTGCAACACTGACGATCGAACAAATTCAATTGGACATAAGGTAACTTTTGTTTCATTGCAAACAAAGAAGTGAAACTCGGTACAAACATGAACACCGAAGGGAACGTAACTGACAAAGACCTAAAATTTACCGTCTATAAATGATATCGATATCAAAAACCCATAGTGCGTGCTTGTGTGTGTGTGTGTGTTCGTGTGCATATATTTTTTAGTACCAGCTAAGAGTTTCAATCGACTAGCTATATATTTTGCAATTTTAAAATTTTGATTTGTTATGATGAAAATTTAAGATTGGTCTAAGGGCGAATAAAAATTTCCTTAGTTTTTTTTGTTTTCAACTTTTGTTAACCTCACCGGCGCAAATTTTGTTAATAGAATAATTGCTCCTATAGAAAAAAATCGGACGGGGCAATAACATAAGTCAAACGCAACATTAAGATATACGTTCCAAAGATCACATAACGAGCATGAATTTCTTATCGGAGCAATACAAAGAGTTAATAATAAATCTTCATCAAATATACATATATAAATATTCCGTAAGGAAGATATATCTGCTAGGTGTTATCTATACTATTAAATTTAAAAGCTTACATACCTATATTTTTATACATAAATATACATATAAATGTAACTTCTTAATCAGTTTAATGCCCTGATCTCATCTAATTAGGGCTGCTCCTTTCTTGAACATGCAAGTGTTTCACAAAAACAAATCACTTCAAAAATACTTAAAACATAAAATGAGAAAAAGTCGTCCAAGATTCTGCTAAAAGGCATATTTCCTATGCATATGTTTGTATATAAGTATATATATATATATATATATATATATAAAAAGAGAGAAAAGAAACTTGCTGTTCATTTTTTCAAGAAACACAAGTAAACGATCTCACCTTAGAGGTGAAGTTGTTAACATTGCATCGGAAAGTAATTAGGGACCATGTGTTAAATAAATATTTTTTCAAAATTGTAAGTCGGTATTGTACAGCGCTTTCTTTATTAAAGCTTTAATCGGTCGTCGTCACAAAATTCAAACCCACATTTATTAGATATTTTTATTTACAGCTTTTTACCTATTTTATGTCTAGTTGTGATCGAAGCATAATGATTTCCAAGTTTTATCCATGGCCATTAGGTTTAAGGGAGCGAAGCGGGTGTCGCCCGGTTTCAAATTGTCATTCTAAAAACAGTTCATAGATAAATGAACCGAAATTAAATCGATTCAGATGAAAATCAAGAACAAGAATATCTCTGCTTTTTCAAATCTCTTTTACGTATTACGCAACCTGTCACATATAAAGGGAAAAACCTACTCGACTTTTTATAAAAAAATATACGTATGTAAATTTGATTCAAGTTACAATTTTGAAGATCTTTATTAACCAAATCTGACCATGCTTTGTCTCCCAACTCACTTTTTATTCAATTTTCCAAAAATTCGCTTTGGAAGTATTTGTAAATTTAAAATCATTTTAAATCTTTTCATAAAATCTACATTATTATACCACAATGTGACTCACAAGCACATAGCCCGAAGGGCATTCCATACGTTGGACAGAAAGGACTTAATTTAGAACTGAGATGCGTTGAGGAACTGTGCATACGATTTCAGAACATTACTCGCAATAACACATTTGGTGATTTCTCAACAAACTATGGAACTATTTGAGCCGAATTTTATGCAGAACTTGAATTAACAAATAAATTTTTTCTTATCTTTCGAAAGCAGGAGCGATATATTGACCTATGCCTTGGCTTCGGCCACTACCTTCACTATCTCTTCATTTTTGATCACTTCATTCTGATCGCCATCGTGTTACACGAAATTGGGGACATAACCACTAAGCGATTGGTCAAATATATATATATAAAAAGAAAATATTTCATGTTCTTAAGAAGCTTGTTTCGATAAATACATGAACTTAAATTATAAATAAAAACAATAGCATTTTAATTATCCCCAGGATTCTCATAAGTGACCAGTAGTCACATCGTGGCATGATTCGTTATAAAAAAAAAAAAAGAAAGCAAAAAGGCGTGCCATTATCAGGATTAAAAAAAGCAAAAAAAGAAGAAAAAGAAGAAAAACTCTAAAATAAATTTCAATCAATTTCAAAAAATAAATTTACGAAAAAGAAAAAAATTAAATTAATCCGTTCCTTCCTTTTTTTAACTGTTTGAATTAACTCGCATTAACTTGTCAGCTAAATTTATCTTAGCTTATCATCTCAGGCAATAATAGAACACATAACGTTTGAACATTGATTGTTGCTTGCAAACATTTTTTCTGATTCTCTTTCCTATAAAATCTCTCTCTCTTTTTTTCTCTCTTCTCTTGCTTTCATCTTCTTCAGATTTTGTCCATGGATCTGTTATTGGAACTTTTTAAAAATGAATTGAATTTTTTTCTATTCTCTAATTCCATATAAATTTTCCATTTTTTCTTTATCTTTATATATGAAAGGTGTCGCTCAATTAATTAAAAAAACAATGAAAGCAAACATAAAACCCAAATCTCTTAGTTGGGCAAGGCAGCCCAAATCTCAGACCATACTTGACCATATGAAATATTAAAAACTAAACCTTATTAACATATAACAATTTACTTTCCATAAGAATCCTTATATGATGATGATAATGATGAGGGAATAAGAAAAATACAACATTGCCGAAAATTAGCAGAGTAAAAAATTGCTTGCTATAAGGCCAATTTTCATCGAGCAGTACTCAACAATCAATCAGATGTTATCATGTAAAGGCTTAGCTTTTTTTGGAGAATTTTTATATGGGAGAGCGCGATTCAAAGAATTCTCCCATCCTCCCAGCCAATTTTTCCATATTCATTCCATCACTCCAGAATATTATTTCCCACCGACTTTTATCGATGTATATTAGCAATGCATTAGTTTATTCATGTAACAATGACATGATGAAAACAGGTTGTTACATGCAGTGTGATCATAAAAGTAATGGGATTCAATTCATTTTTAATAAGGTTCGTCGCTAGTCCCAAATAAAGGAACAGCACCAAGTGTTAATGAAGTAGAAAATTGAACAGAAAAAATACACGGATGACTGTTATACAAATAGATGGACAGACAGGCCATCATGAGAAACTGGTCTATCTATCTGGGTGGCATATAACATTCGCACTTTCATTACAAGCAATGAATAAAGCAAAGATATAAGGAAAAGAGAAAGAAAAGAAAATCTCTCCAAATTCGAATTTCATTTCTTGCCACGATACATCAACTTATCCCGAAATTTTCTTTGGAAAGTTCTGCTGCTGTAGGTTCGTTAGTTGAACCATTTTTTTACGCAGTCTAAACTTGGCCGGTGTGAAATCCTAGGCAACTGGTAGCAAATGTTTAATTTTTATCTCAATTTTTGCCACCGTAAGTGTTCCAACGACTGATAATAGATGGACAGGATTTGGAAACTGATATATTCACATATATTAAATATTTTATGAGGTCGTTAGAAATGTTGCAAGCGCAAGAACAAATCTCGTATATTTTTCATCCTTCGATGGAGTCCTGTGGAATGAGAAGTAGCGAGTAGTAGTCGATTATTCAACATTTTACATTTGCATTATATACCACAAGTTCCGTTATTTTACAATAAAAAGCAGGCATTATACGGGCCGCAGAATGGACGGTTACACGTTCGGCCATTTACAAGATGTGAAGCCTTTGACTTACAATACAATAAGTGATACGAATTTTATTATAACAAATTTGAAACAATCGATCAACATAACAGATTAAATTTCCCTGCGAATCGCTGTCCAATATTTTTACTACACCTACGCGACGGGATATTGACTAGCTGCAAGGAATTATAAGATAGTGTACTATGGTTGTCTTAACTTCTACAAAGAGCTGTTTGGCAACTCAATTAGTGAGCATTTAGACGGCGGAAAAGTGTTCCGCAATTGTTGGACCGTCAATCAATGCCATGCAAACTCGACGGCAGAACCAGTTTTAATAATTTTGGTTTTTTCTATTCCATCTATTCTTTTTACTTTTAATTTTGAGCTTTCGGTGATAAATCAACTTGACGCCTTTAAATATTTATATTGAACAGCAACGGAACTGCGGATTGTGTCTATATAATTTATTACTAAAAATATATATATATATACAAATACATAATTTCTTCATTTAATGATAATATATATAAATATTCTATGCAAATATAAAAATCAGAGAATTTAAGTATAAAAAAATTTAGATCAAAAATCAAAAAAAAAGAAAACTAAACTTAATTTTATAAGGCCATACTTTATAAAATTAACTAACAATCTTCCCTTTTCTTTTTTTTTTTTTTCACTCCTTTTAACCACTCCCGCCCGCCTTTACCGGAATAAAAAGAAAAAATCAACACTAAAGCAAGGAAAAGGGAAAACATAAGTTTTTTCGAATATGTATAGAAGTAAAATTAAAAATTATAAAAAAAAACTAAATTAAACTAAATTTTTTTTTGCGGTTTTTTCTTTTTTTTTTTTGACAAAATATTGCGGAAACCGTTGCGTGGGGTGGGGGCAAACTTGCTGATTTAGTCCGAAGCGTTTCGTTTTTATCATTAATTTAGGTTTTAGTTTTTTTTCCCGTTTTTTAAGGTCAAGACAAATTTTATAGATTCGTTTCACACATACATATAAGACAATTTTGATATGAATATAAATTTACTTGAAGGGGAGAGAAGAATCGACACAAACTCAAAATTTATAAACAGAAATATCGAGCACAGCGTTGATTATCAATTTGTTTGTTTGTTTGCTTTCAAGTGAAACATAATTTAACGGCATTTTACAGCTAAATATGAAAACCTTAACATTTTTCTCTTTATCTTTATATAGATTATGTAACCGATCTTTGCTATCTTCGCTTTCAATGACATGATCATTTGTATTCTCCTTATCGTAAGATAGACAAAATCGTTTAAAAAAGCCGCAGCAGCAAGCAAGAACACATAAAAGACTCACGATTTCATTTCAATTGATTATGAGAGCCAGAGCTGAGAATAATACAATTCCATTATTAATGATTATGTTGATGATGGTGATGGTGGTAATGCATCACTTGAGATATGATTTATATAACATTTGGCTTCGACATGTTTCACGTTCTTGTTCCATAAAGAATAGCATATCCCGTAAATTGACGCGTTTTATACGAGGCCGTAACGCAGGTGGAGCTGAACCTGTGGCTCCGATCGAATTAAATATAGCACCACCCTATTGATATGAATAATTTTATTTAGCATCGAATTATCTCATTATGATTTGTTTTTTTTTTTTTTTTTTTTTTTTTTTTATTTAATTAATATGCAATACATACCGCTCCTGATCCTGTATAATCATTCTCCAATTTCAGTTTTTTGCGGGGTCCGATAGCTTGCAAGGCAGTCATGTTGGCATCCCGTTGTCTTAATTCTTCTAATTCGGCTCTTTGCATCTCTTTAGCCTAAGCGGGGTGCGGGAACAAAAAATGTTAAAAATTAAATTTTCAAAAATTTCGTCAAAAATTTTCATTATACAAATCAAATACAAAAGTACATACCCTTGCTTTCATTTTGGCCTGCTCAGGATCTTCTATCTTTGAACGTGATTTGGCAGCACGTAATAACATTTCACGTTCCAATTCCTCGTGACGTTTTTGTTCAGCCTTATCCAATTCTTCCAGAAATTTAATTTGACCACGTACATCCTTTGTTACCTCATAACGAGGATCTAGCTGCAATAATTCAATTCAATCGACGGCTACCATTAAGCAAATATAATTCGCATATCTTTCATTGTTGCCTTACCTTAATCACATCAATACGATGTTCTGCTATCACAGCTAATTTTTCGACGATATTCTTTAATCGTTCCTGGCATGCATGAGATATCAGAACTGCGACGTCTTGCGATGGCTCCTCGAGGCCGCGCTCCATGACCATCGCTCGTATGCGCGCCTGTAAAGCGGGTAAATGTAAAAAAAACTTCGTCTTTGCAGGAACGTATTTGTGTGCCAATATTTTCAGTACAGCCAAGTATGCGTTGCGTCTCTTCGGCCAAATTGACGCCACCCATTGCAGCAACATCATTGATATCATCATCACCGTACGATGACATTGATATAGAGGGTTGTTGAAAGAATGACGACATCGCTGCCGCACTAGAGGCCGAAGTGGAATTATTCAGCTTAACATCATCGCGATCTTTATCTGCTTGTTCTTTCTTCTTTTTCGCAGCCGCCTTACTAGCTGACGCGGCTGATGATTTAGCGGGAACTTTACTCGTTGCTGGTGTCGTAGGGGTTGGAAGCTGACACGACAATTTTATATCAGGTTTATTTTCAGTTTTTATTATACCGGCTTCCACTATAGCAGTTGCCGCACTGTTATTGTTATGTGTAATTGTTAGGGGACCTTGGAGTTGCTGTTGCTGTTGTTGTTGAGCCAGTAAACTTGGTGGTAACTGCACGGTGGGTAATGAAGGTACCGGCAAACCAGTCGCGTTGCCTATTGAATTGCTGGCTACTGAATTAATTGTGGATAGTATTGAGGCCGAAGAGGAAATGTTTGACCCCGTTGGTACATTGTTCGATATGGCCACCAGAGAAGGTGGTTGTGTGGCTGTGGCTGTGGCGGGCGAGGCAGATGTGGAAGAAGAAATTGCTTTAATTTGGGTTTGACCCACTTTCACGTGCGTTATGCCGGATCCAGCGCCAGCGACAGTGGTCGTTGAAGATTTACCTTTAGCCGTGCGTATCTGAACGGTGGTGGGACGACTCATTTGTGTAGCTATGGGGGCACGTATTTGAACAATGTTCTATAATATTAAATAAGACAATGAATGTATAACGCGAACATTTTTTAATTTTAAGTAACATATCAATATAATGATCTCATCAAATTCGATTACCGCATGAGTAGGTCCTCCATGTTGTATCTGAGGTGAATTTGTATTTGGCTGTGGTAAATTGGTTTGATGCACTGGTCCTCTTAGATGAGTATTTAATAGACGCGGCCCATTGGCCGGGCCCTGTATGCGTATACCAGCTGCTGGCTGTTTGGTGATGGTGGTGTGACTGATTGGCCTTGCAGCCTGTGTGATCATGCGCACCTGCGTCTGCCCAATGGTAGTTGTTTGATTTTGACTAATAGGACGGATTTGCGCTTGAATTTTCTAAAACAATAATTATTCCCTGATTTCTGATTAGGTGATATTAAGTCGAGGGCGACTTACCGAATATTGCTGTTGAATCGACGCTAGTCCCGTAACAGCATGTTGTGGTGGTGGTTTGATACCTTCAATAACTAATTCCTTGGTGAATAATGCTTGACGCAACAGTGGTAGACTTTTCTATAAGAACATATACGTACATACATACATACATACATACATACAATAAATATATAGGTATATAGAATTTGCGTCACTTTTGTTGAATTTTGCTTACCTTAAGAAATCCGATTAAGCATGGTTGTGGACTGGCATTCAAGAGTTTCTCTAATCGATCACAAAAATCCTCGGGTTCTACATTAGCATTAACCAACTCCTGAATAAGACTACGTACATTCTTTTCCACAGGTTTGGGTTCGCGTGTTGACAAATCTATTAAATTCGCCAAGAATTTGCGGCATTTCTCTTTGGTATTGCCCTGAGCTACTGTACTTTGCTGCGGTGTACTACTGCTACTACTGCTGGCCGAAGGATTGCTCGGCGTAGTACTGCTCACCACATTATTACTATTTTGAATGTTGGCATTGGTTTGTTGCTGTTGCTGTTGTTGCAATTGTGTAGTCGATTGCGCCGCTGCTATCGTCTGAATTTGTGTAATTTGCGGCTGCGTTTGTAAGTGTTGAGTTTGCTGATGGAACTGTTGCTGTGGCTGCTGTTGTTGTTGCTGCTGTTGCTGCTGCTGCTGTTGTTGTTGTTGCATGGAGGCAACAACATTCGTTGTTGTAGTCGGTTGCTGTTGCAGCGATATGTTTGCTTGTGACGTGTAAACATGCGCCGGTCCCGCCGAACTCGTTGACGACACCGAATTCACCACAATATTATTCGCGGTTGAGGTATTCGCCATCGACTGTGGTAAGGCCATCATATTATTAATAATTTATAATACAATATTAATTAATTATATAAACCACATTTTCTTTTTCCAACAACAATTCTCTTAATTGAAAAAAAAAAAAAAATCTTCCTTAAGAGCAAACAACTCATATAACAAAATCAAAATCTAAAGTCACTACACAAATATTATGAAATTATAATATATGAACGATAACAATTTCAAAGCCAACTTGTTTGAAAATTTCAAATTTGCATTTAAGTGGTTTTCATTTTTTTCTTTTTTGTTCTGTTTTCCGATTGAATTTGACAATTAAAACGAGAAAAGCACGAGAAAGACAGATACAACATACAAGCACTACAGGCATTAAATGAAATAATATCTCGAAAATTACTTGTGAAAAATAAAACTATTTATGAATGAAAGTGATGAAAAAAAAAAAAAAAATATATATATATATATATATATATATATATATATATATAATATATATATTATTATGTATATATATATATATAATATATATATTATTAAGCATATTCTTCATTGTTAAAACAGTTAAAGCAAAATGTAATTAAAGGAAAAGAAAATTAAGAAATCTTTTGTATCGAATACGAGAACTACATTGGCTTAGTCCATTCAAACTCAACATTTAAAAGAAAAAAAAAATGAATAAAAAAAAAAAATTAAGAAAAATAAGATTGAAAAGAGAAAATGCTACCTAGAATAAATGTGTGACATGAATGGAATCAGGTCGAAGAACACATGTGCGTGCCTCTCATCAATACCTGGATGATATTAAACCATAGCCCTAGATGCCTGTCTCTATCTAAAAAAAATTTCCTCTAATCGCTGTACGTTTCTGGTAAGTTCCATTGTTTGTTTTAACATCTCGTCGATTAGCACGAATGCAATGTAACGAGATCGTTCATTTGTCTTTAGCGAAATCCTTGCACGGATTGCAATAACGCAGAATCTGACGCAGAATCTGGCGTTTGAAAACAACTCAAATTCATCAATGATAATAAAGACATATGATTGTCAAATAAGTTTGGTTCTTTAATATAATGCTATGTTTGCTTTAGGCACTTCCCATTGCAATCGTGTACTTATACTTTTTCCGTTAAGTATGTATTGTTCATTATTAAGCTTATTAAGGATAGCATTGGTTATGTTTGTTCAAAATTATTTAAACTTGACATGTTTGGATTGACTTAAGAAATAAACTCGGAAATAAACATAATTTCCCAGTATATAGTAGTGCACGCCTATTCAAGATTCGTTCAAACCGAAAGGACCGTCTAGCGACGAATGTACCTCAAACTGATTTGTTGCGAATGTTTTCGAAGAGATAATATACATGTATAACTGTGTAATTTTATATTAATTAAAATTTAGCTCTTAAATGAGAAGTCTTATTGAATTCAACAACTTCGATATACACATTAGATGCTCGATTTCTGAATATCTAATAAAAATGCACATTTTCACAGTGTAATTTTTTTCGAGCTACAATGACGACAGTCACGATTTAAAAGTGGGAACGATCAAGGCTAATACACCGAAGAGACATACACTTTACGGGGACATGCTCGAAAAGTAAAATAATCGATTCTATTGAAGGGCTCATTATATCAATTATTTAAACGATTGGAAGTAAAAGAAGAAAAATGCTCGAAATCAATACGAACCGAATATTGAATAGTTAGTTATTATTATTGCAAATCATTTCATACATCATAAAACTAATAATAATAATAATAAGGAAGAGAGAACTGAAGTGAAGTAAATATGCTAAACATCTAGGAAAAAAAGGCAAAACGAATTGTTTAGAAAAAAAAAAAAAAACGAAAATTTCTTTTAATGAATAAGAGCATCTTAAAACGAGAGAATGCGTATATTCGGGTCGAAGGAATCCGAATCTTTTTATACCCACCACCTATATGATTGTATCTAGTATACCGCGGCCTAAATATTAATAGAATTTTATTTTGAATTTCAAAAAAAAAAAAAAAAAAAAAAAACAAACAATCTTAGAATTTTCATAAATTCTAATTGTGTTTCGAGTGCCAAGTATATTGTTGAAAGAGTTTCATTTGCTTTCATCTGCTTTACGCAATGCATTCCCAATGGAAACTTCTGCGGAACAAATCACATCCACTTTTTCCCTATCAAATCATGGGACGTCATTTTATAAACACAATTCGAAGAGAAAATCAAATGATTTTATTGAAGTGTTTATGTCGTCATGAATCGTCACGATACGAGCAGAAGGACGGACCTATAGATCTAATCAGATCGATTCATATTCATATTATAATAATCATAAGCATTTCTTTTATAAATGCTTTATATATTTAGAATACCCTCCGGTGGTTGGTACAAGATATTGAATTTGGAAATAAATTTAGTAAGTTTTCTCTAATGGAATCTTTTTTAAAAGAAAGCAAAATATTGCCGGAATAACATCGAAATAATCGAAAACGAAAGTTAGAAAGAAGAATTATAACGCTAAAAGTAATTAAACGGAAAATCATCTCATTCACGTAAATTTAAAATACGACAAAAGAACAAATAAGAAGATCAAGAAGATGATGAAGAAGAAGAAAAAACGTTCCGATTTTGATTATTCCTTTTCGCTACTACTCAACAGAACATGAATCAATCTCTCAGGGACAATTACATTTTGTTTAATCTGTTTTATCGTTGTTGTTGCCTGTTGCTGATGTTGTTGCTGTTGCGGTTGTTGTTGTTGTTGTTGGTGATGGTGATGGGTGGTTTTAGTGGTTGAGGTGGAGGAAGTGGATGATCTTACAATCGTTTTACGTAGTGCTAAAGGTGGCCCTGTAAATCTACTTACAGCAGATGGAACAGTTTGCAAGCGAATTTGTGGCGGGTTTGTGGAATTAGTGGCGATTGTTTGTGTCACCGGACCCGAGGTAGCCGTCCCTACGCGCAACAATTGAAATCCATTTTCAGTTTTCAATATGAGTGCAGGCGTTGGTCCCTGGGTTCGTGCACTTAATGTTATCTATACGAGAGAAAATTTGTAACGAGAAACGAAAAAAACATAATTAAAAGAATTTTTTTTTTTTTTTTAACAAGGATAGAACAGGAAATGGTATATGGTGGTATAGTGGTAAGGTAATAGTGTGAAGACGTTAGGAAGTGAGAAACTATGTTAGGATTTAAAATTGAAAATAAAAAAAACATTCTCATAACTTTTTTTTTTCTTCTTGTTGATTTTGATGTGAGTTAGTATGTAATGTTCGCCGTACTTCGACGTATGAAAACTTACCGCTGGACTTTGAGGCCTAGTGCCCACCATGTGTGGCCCACCAATGACCACACGGCCCAAATTGTTGCCTTGTACATTCTTTGGTTGCTGCTGAGCGTTCGGAGGACGCATTCCTACTACTACACTAGCCGGTATCATGGAGTTCAAAATAGGTTGATTACCCTGACGATGTATAAGGAGTAAGGTTAATATTATGAATTTCTTCTTCTATAATGTGAATTTTTATATTTTTAATTTTAATTTTCTTTTATGAAATTATTATATAAACACCACTACACTACATTCAGCATGCCATCACAAGTCATACGAAGTACTTTTATTTATACATATTTAAAAAAAAAAAAAAAAAAAAAATTTTCAGTTTCGATTTCTTAAAGCGTAAAAAAAAAGAGTAGAAGCTCAACGAGTGACTACTCAATAAACACTTGCTGAACTTCTTTTCACCACAGGCCATGTAGATTGAGATTATAGTTGGGATTGTCTAAGATTATCGATAGCTAAAGTCTACAAGCAATTATCCTTAGCATGCTTATTAACATTAAAATTTGAAATACTAAATTATAAAATTAATAATTTAAGATACAAGTAGTTAAAACTTAAAATTATATTAAACGATACAGCATTCAAATGAAGTAATAGAATCTATTAAAGTAAAAGAGTAAACCAAGCCGCGTCATTAGAACATAATACATTTGTTTTCAAAATTGCACCCATTGGACAGATATATTTTAAATTAATTTTTAGAAATCGTCTTTCGTAAGAGATATGTGCAGAGAGTTTACAAAGTTCTACTTATTGTAAATAAAATGAGAATTAATTTAAACTGTATTGGAAGCGTAAGAAGTAAAATACGAAAACTAAATTAAAAGAATATGACAGAAACTATAAATCACACGCCTTCCTCCGTTAAGAGCTAATAAAAAAAGTATACGTTCAATCATTCTCTTGCTGATATTTAAATTCGATCAAATGTTACTTTTCTTTATTTATTTTTTTTTTTTCTGTGTTTTTTTTTTGTTACTATTGTTTATAAAATGTAATCTAAACGATTATTTTGTAGGGTGGAAATGTATTTCTTGTGTTTTGTGTGTAATTGAAGAAGAGAAGACATTTGATCACGTAAGGGGTAGGGGGAAGAAAATCGGGCCCTTCTAGAGCAGCCCATACCTGTTGTTGTATGGTTTTGGTCATAGTTACGATTCCGGGTGCACTTGAGACAAGACCCGCCGGCAATGTGACTGCATGATTAGATTTTATAACTAAAGTTTGCGTTTGTGTGGCACCTACTGATTGCTGTTGTTGCTGTTGACCGCCTGGTTGTGTGCCCGGTCCGCCAGCTGTTTGCAAGACCTGGTGATGCTGTACTTGAACTTGTTGCGGTAAACCGTGATGCGGTTGTCCGGCTCCCGCCGTTATTGTCTTAATAGTCGTGGTATTTGGTAGTTGTGACGTTGATATAATGGTCGAACCAGCTCCCGGATGACCACTACCGATATTAATTGTACCGTTCGGTAACGTTTGGCTGGTAAACGTAATACGATTACCGGGAGCAGCTTGCGCTGGTTGGCTTGAATTCATTGCGCTTCTGTTGCTATTGCTGCTATTAATTTGAAATGAATATCCGCCTTTCAACACGCAGCGGTTTTCTTCCAGATACTTGCTTTTAATATTACGCGCGTAATCAGTGTTTTCCAATTCATCCGAAACCCTTAGTTTGTCATTTTGAAATTGTTTTTCTCCTTGCTTTTTTTGGCTTATAACAACTGAACTTTCTAGTTTAATGTTTTCTGCATGCTCGACAGTGTCCTTGGAAATGCATTTATCTAAAAAGAAAACAAAGAAGAAAACAGAAAAAAAAAATGACATATGAAGAATAATAGAAAGCAAATCGTTCTATACGAATGTACATTACAGCCTCCAGCATCTACCGGATTCACATATTGTCGGCACTGGGTTGTCTTTATCAGTGCATAAAGAGCTATCATCACATCCAGTGCCCGTACGAATATCGTGAAATGGGAAATCCGGAAACTCTACGCATACAATGTGTAACTCTTAATCATATTTACCAATACTTGTTTTCACTTCATTACGAATATTTTGATAATTTTCATAAGACGCAAACAGGTTTATGGAAAAAGTACATTCATTAACAACAGATTCAATTTTAATGATATAGTTTCAGTTTTCCTTCTTTTATCTCCATAGTATCAAGCTTCTGTTATTTTAATACATATATGGAAATATCACAGAAGGAATTTACTTCAAATCGAACAAATCACACCGGTAACTTGTCACAAATATTCCCAATCGCCATCCTTATTTACTATCTATTATCAGACAAAGCAATTTACGACAACCTGTTTACATAATGAGGGCGCAATATTCTTCGTATCATCTGCAAAATTACACATACAAGTTTATTACACTCTCGGAAGATGATTGTAAACAAACCAAAGCTTTAAAGGTAAGTTTACTTTTTATGCTGCACTAAGATGTTTCGCTACGCATCGCTATATAGAATAATTTCGATTTTTTACATCGAAAATTTTACAGTTTCCGATTAAGTGCTCATTAGTATAAAGTGAATCCAAAACAGATCAATTACCGATCATCGTTAATTAATAAGTGTTAAAAATCTGAAACGTTCCGTGGAAAGGCCCTCATGTATTATACAGAAATTTTTTTTCTTTCCAGATTGACAATAAACTCACAAATTTCACATATGCATAATCAGTTGAAGCAGGTGTACATACACGCACATATATTTTCACGCACACACATTATTAGAACACCCAAACAAAACAACGACCACCCACAACAGAAACCGAGCCAAAGTTCCATACGATATCTGATAACTAATCAATGCAAATGTGTTCAGCAACAACAGCAGCAGCACAGCTACAATAACAACAAATAATCTTTATCCCTTCGGGATAAAGAGGCAACATACACATACGCACACAAGATACAGAGCCAGATACACTAATTATCACCTTGTGGTGTTGGATGGTTATACCATAAGTAACTGTTGGTTTCACGGTGATTGTTATTCGATACGGTTTGGCCGAAGCTGTTGCTTGTTGGTTTCTTCACAATACTTGACGATAACTCCTTTTCAATATCCACATCCGCGAAATCTTGAAATGCAGGTATAACAGCTGCTTTCGATGTTGCCGCATAAACAATCTGTCTTAAAGATAATCCAGCGATATAACCTTTATCTTGGGCTTCTCCATTAACTTTTGTTCCGAATTCACCTACCTGCCTTGGAGAATGCGCAGCAGACGCTGCTGCAGAAGCAACAACTCCTTGTCCTTCAGCACCTCTATTCCTTGCCGTTTTATCCAGCATGCATTTGTTTTGATAACGATCAGGGGAAAGTAATGTTGTTGATTCTTCTGCCGTTTTTGTTCACGTATAGTTCTTGAAATGATATGTACAACATTCAACTGGACATAAGGATGACCTTCTCTCTTGTCTATGTTGCCCGTTATGTGTATTATCAATTATAATATATTCCCGTACATGTTTATTGTTTTCTTAGTTTTTTCGCTATTAACATAATTTTGGTGATTCGTGCTCGTTGCAATGCTGGTGTCGATAAATATTTAACAATAGAAATCCAATGAATCCAACAACGTTACGTGAAGCGGCGCAAGCGAAGGCAGCGCTGGAAGAATCTTTGCATAGTTACGATGCAAAGAGAACATTGAAATAACTCAAATAAATAAAAATATAAAAAATTAAATTAAAAATATATATATAAAATTTTTAGTGAATCCAACTTAAAATTTGTAGAGATAAATTAAGGCGTTTTTCTATACAAGGCAAAAAAACGCCATCTTGTCACTACTCTAAATGTGTGTTTGTCAACAAATCTAAATAATAGTAGAATTGTCAAAGTTTAGGCTACTCTTTCTTAATAAGCTTTAGCAGCAGCGATTTAGATTCCAAAATATATTATCCTTCTTTTAATATTCCTTTTATTTTAATTTGAATTCATTTTTATTTCTAAAGGTTGACATCATTGTTTCAATGTGTACCGAAAATTTCGAAGACGACGCGCCGCCATTTTCTCTAAAAAAAAAAGCACTTCAAAGAAAATTTGGCGTTAGCACATCGTTTGTAACAGATTTTTAGGGCGAAGTTGAAATACGACTGTGCGTTACATTTTTTCCATTTATTTCTAAAGTTGCCTGATCGCAGCAAATTCAAGCTAACTCATCTAAGTACATGTAATATAACTTTAAATCTTAGATAATAAGTTTTAGATAAAATCCGTACAAATTCTAAGCTATTAGCGACATTAATAAAACTTTAGATATTTTTGAAATGATTTTATATCAAATCTTTATGCTAATAATTAGTATAATTGTCTAAATATAAATGAAAACAATCTATGGTAAAATTGTTGTAAAGCTGAAAATACTTTTAACTAGAAAGGGAGAATTATATACGTTATTTCTGTGTAATGTTAAGCGCCATCTGGTTGAATATACATATAACTATACGTGACATTGCTGCGCTGCTGGGAACAAAAAGAAGGCCAAATCCAACAACAACGACAGCAGTACATTTTTCATGTATGAGTAAATAGGTACAGAAACGTTATAAAATAGCCAGACAAAAGCCAACAAGCGAATTGATACGGCAAAGAAGAATTAAAGAAAACAACCAAACCGAAAAGAAATACACAAATATGATGACAAGACTGGTTGAACGAACGGGCAGACGTAGATAATAGCGCGTTACATAGACTGCTGATGCATCGCTTGAAACAGAGCTCATACAATTGATTTTGCGGACGGGCGATTGAAGCCGAAAAAACCGACGGAAAAAACGATGGTCGGATGAGCCGTACTTCAATTGAATTGAACACCACACCATATTTAAAATGAAAAAAGATAGAAAAACGTACACACACATTTTTTTTCCTAACCATATAATCGGTGATTTACTGCTGTTGATATTAATTATAAAATTCTACATATTTTCTCTGCTGTGAAGAAATTCACCTTTTCTGATGAGCTGCGTTTTTTCTGGAACGTTGTTTTATTAAATTATTACCGTGAAGAAGCAAGGTTTCTTTTTTTACAATTTTTTTTTTCACTTTGCTTGAACACACACATAAACCACTTTTGTTTTACTTTTCCTTACTTCAATACTTTTAAAAAATTATACATATTTCTCATTTACATATATATATATATATATATATATAAGTTTTCTTTTTCTCACGTATTTCGCAAATGCACCATCCGCGGAGGTGTCGTTTCTCACAAAAATTTTCACAATAATTTTTCGAACACTTTGTAATTGAATTTTGATCAAAATTTATGAAAAAACTATATTTTACACATTAAAATTTTCTTTTCGCTAAAAATTTCGTGCAAATTTCCAAAATTTACGTGATTTTTCTGAAAAAAATTGTTTACGATTTCTTAGCGACCCGCACTTTTTCCCATTACAATCGCACACACACACGGGCGCAGTGCTACCAGATTACATTCAAAATTGTTGTGCCTATTGTATTTAAAGCGAAATGGCCATTTTGATGGGGTAAAGCGAATATGAAATTCTACCGATAGTTTTGTGTTCTGTCATTTGCAAAGTAAAAATGACTTTGTGGATAAGTAAAAATTTATCGCATACGGAATTGAATTATAAGTATTAAAAATTCGAAAATTTAAGAAATTATTAAATTTATTAAAAGTAATAATATAATTATAGGTTATAGAAGAGTACGAACCTTACTTAAAAACTTATTTTATAGGCTCGGAATTCAGCATAGAAAATTGAATTTCTAATAAATACGGAATAATTAAAATGAAAATGATGGAGAGAGGTACTATTTCGGCAGTCAATGTGTCAATGTGAATGTATCGATTAATTAAAAATTAATCATGGAGAAATGAAACTGGATAAAAGCTATCTGAGGAAAGAGAACGAATAAAAAATATAGAAAAATGGATAAGACGGATTGTAAATAATAGAAAAAATGTATTTGTGGATAATATGTTAACTCCTTCTTTTCGACCAAAAGACGACGAATAATGGATAAACATTATGTAAAGAGAATAAATTAAAAGATACATTTTCCTTTTATGTATATTTGTTCTATTTTAGAAACGTCCGCTCTAGGCAAGTAGACAACTAAAAATTTAATTCCTCGGATTAAAAATTGGATTTCTATACATGACTTTGTTAGTCAAAGTTTATACATAAATTATGTCATTGTAATGTCTTTTTGTTAAAAAACGAGCCGTGCCATGAAAATATATTTACACGATACGAAACTATACGAATAGTATGGAAGCTTATGGAAATGCAATAATAAATCAGAACATGGGGGTTGCCATCCATTTGCGTACGCCTGTTGTAAACAATGGTTGTAATATGTTTTCGTTGTATTGAGATAAAAGGGAGAAAACCATGGCATTTTTAACAACATTAAAAAAGGAGAATAAAATTCACAATTGTGGAAGAATTTTTGCATAACTTGCGACCAATGAAAAATAGTTAAATTATAATTGTCTTTTGTAAGTGATGTCGTTTTAATTCTATTGAATCCAATTGCAAGGTTTGGGATGCGTCATCTGAACGGATATCACATTACCGACAGAGGAAAACTTGCATAGCAACTATTGCGGCAATAGCCATACGGAAACATAATGAGAGAAGTCTGCAAAGGCTTTGAATTTTGGAAAAACAGTCTTTTATGATGACAAAGCATCTACGAGAAAAGAAGAGTGCAAGAAAAAGTTTACGAAATTTTATTAAAAGATTCTGACTCATATTCCTAGTTTCTTATGATCCGGAAAGTGAAACGTTTTATATAGGTGAGAGATTATATAGGTTATTCATCTATCAGTAGCTAATGCTTGATTTTCCTATTCCGCAACTGTTTTTTTTTTCAAACATACAATCTAATATTTGCCCAAAGAATTGTATTTTTTAGTGTCTGCAGATTTCATTCATTCTGGTAATAACCCTTTTAATGAGTAAACGTTCGCTTTTAAGAAGATTTTGTATTCCCAGTATCATCGCGTTACTTCAGAAATTGAATAGATGTTGATAGTGGTAATGGTGACCCAGATTTCTTCTTCGATTGAAAATTTTGCACGGTTCAAGCAGTTTCCAAATGAGTACATTTTTTAGAGCATATATTTTTAGTTGCTATTCGTAATTAAATGTCAAATCAAAAAACAATTAAATAACAATTTGAACAATAATAATAATTTAGAATTACAAGCAAAAACAAATACAATAAACTCTTGGTAACTTATGTAAGCGAATGCTCTTTAACGGATTTCCGTCGATGGACCGCATAATATATGAAGCCGATCATGCCAGTTACAATCCCACCAGCTAAAGCCATCCAATAAAAAATATCTAAAAGTCTCAAATTGTTGATGAGCTTTTGTTTAAGGAAATCAACCATTTCGTCATTTAGTTGTATACCCTGTCAGACAACAAATTAAACATATTCAATAATATTAAGCAAACAAATAAATAATAAAACGAATTATGCAAATATTTAATAAACAAATACAATTTGACTTTACCTCATCGATCCAGATTGCTGGCATTAAGACGGTGGTTAAATTTTCGGTGATCGTTATGCGATTAATGGTCTTTAAAAACATATTGAACTGTACACGTTTCCCTCCTTGCAGCGGGGTACCAGTAAGCTGTGTTAAACATAAGGACGAGTGAGATATATTAAACCTATTATCCCTGCTATAGAACCCATAAATACATTTTAGAGACGTTATCCATTATACACATGTATTCGTGACCGCCTTGAGATTTAAAATCAACTTAATTATGGGCGTATATGTCTTTAGATGGAATTGATAAGCTCCCCACATATGGCTACAAATCAAGTTTCAAAAGAGGTTTGCCCCATTTACGATCATCTATAGTCGCGATTGAACTAAAAATGTTGTTCAAAATCGTCAATGCTGTCTTTAGATTTCGTTCAGAAATAGGTCGAAATAATTTGCTCTTCAATAAGTGAGAATCAACTTTTAAGCTTTTACATATATATTATATAATATAAAAATATGAAATATGCGTCAGCACTACCGTTATATTGTGAAATCGTAAAGGTTGCGAGATTCTCATTCAAGTTGGCGCTGTATGAATAAAAACATGTGTCGGTATTTAAGGGATGTATTTATGAGTGTTATGCAGGGAATCTTTTGTCTCTTTGTTCATTTACTTGCTGTACATCCACATAGGTTTGGTGTTTCTTTGCATCTGGTTTAAGTCCCCGTATGGTGCTGGTATATTCATTGGAGGCACCCAACATGTGTGGCAAGGTTAAAATTACAGGTGCCTCTGAAATATGGTAAGTTGTTTTATAAAAAGAAATATAAATTTTACTAACCATTCTTGTGTTATTTCCATTCCTTTTTTTAGGTTTGATTAATTCTTCCAAATAAATATCCTTTTGGCAACTAAAGTATGAAGCAATCGCTTATTCCACATTTTTTAACTTTTAATACCCTACGCCATTTGTGGTACAGGGTATATCAAATTTATGCGTACGTATGTAACACCCAGAAAGGCTTAAAATAAACCTACATTTTACTATACTGATCGATTCAGGAACATTTTTTTAGTCGGTCAAAGCTTGCCTGTCCGTCCGATGTCTATCAATGTTAATTTGTGTTTAAGCTACAAGTCGCAATTTTTGATGAAATTAGGTACACCACTTGGTTTCACCCAAGGATGAATGCTATTGAAAATGGTATAGAGCGGTCCATTTTTTCGACCACGATAACGCCCTATTTTGAAAAGTCGTTTTATGGAGAAAAATTGCAATTTACATAATTTCATAATGAAAATCAGATCATAATAGGCATTTTAGATAAATAAAATTAAATGTACCAAATTTAGATCATATCGGCCTATTTTTTTGACATCTATTTTATGTAACAATTTTCACGAAAATTGATTCTTTATAGGGAAGAAAAGTTTATTGAAATTGATCTATAATGGTAATATGATGTAAAAATTAATTCTACAAAATTTAAATGACCCATGCCTATTTTTGCATCCTGCCGTTTAATTTAATGAAATTTTTTTTTTTTTAGTTCAAAAATGTCCAAGTTTTAATATTTAATGATTAAAATTAATATATAATAGTAACTTGATATAAAAATAAACTGTACTGAATTTTGAACATATACCTCAATTTTCGAACCTCTTGGTCACAGCCATTGCTAATATTTGAAATGCACGGTTATAATAGTAAGTTCATACAAAAACAAGTAAGAACATTACAGTCGGACAATGCCGGCGATTAAATACCCTACACCACGCTGTCTAACACAATTCTCATTTTTGTATGAAATTACTATTATGGGTTAATTTTCATCATCACACATCAAACCTTAGACTTTTGTGCCTTACAAAGTATCAATTTTCGTGTAAACTTGTATTAGGGTACGATATAGGGTAGACCAAGACGGTCTAAATTTGATACAGTTAATTTTTTATCTTGAAATAGTGTCATGATTTTCATCATGAAGCATTGGCAGTCAAACCTTTTTGTCGTATGAAGTACAGGTTTCGTTATATGATAGGGGATTTAAAAAATTGCCCCCGCCGGTCCGAAGTTTTCACACCGATTTACAATGCCGAAATATTTTTACTTAGCCACCTTTGTCGAGAAATTTTGAAATTTTATTTCATATAACCACTTATCAAAATAGAACGTTATATGACGGGTGATTGAAAAAGTGGACCGATACGTACAATTTTTAATAGCGTTCGTCCTTGAGCCACAGTACTTTGATTCGAAGTTGAACCTCCACGTAAAATTTAAACTATGAAGCCCCATGAATCTATACATATATACGTCGAGGAGAAAAGGGCGAGGTCGCATCTAGTTTTTCAAGTGTATTAAATTAGGATTATATTGTATTACGACATTTTTCTTGACTCTTTTTTTCAATGAAGAGTAAAAGCATTACTTTTTGATCTTGGTTCCACTTATACATAATTCAAAGCCCTATCGATTGGAACCACTGTTCATCGTAGAACAAACATATAGGTACCACGCTTCAAGAGCTTTCATTTTGAATATAAAACGAATAGTAAACAAAGCAGGAACAGGAATAGTAAAGAAAACAGGAACAGGGTAAGACCGGCCATTAGATACCCCGCACTACTTTGCCTAATGACGCCTCTCATTCATTTTCTTGATAATGCATCAAAAATTGTATTCTATTTTTATGCAAAAGTCTTCTTTCCATGGAGGTCATATTAGAGGAGGCTCAAAACGTCAATTAGCATAGAAAAAATGTAGTAAATTTAATTTACTTGTCAAACATTTTACATTTTACGACAGTTCATCCCTGTGGACAAAATTGCGATTTATGCGACATGAGACGAGAAGATGGACAGGCAAAATGAGTGTGCTTCGGAAACTGATTCTGAATCGATCGGTAGAACGAAAAATGGTTCTATCTCACTTAATGAGATAGAAATGGCCTGTGGCCCAAATGACATAGGGTGTAAATATAATTGCATAAAATAAATTTATATATAATAATGAATTGTCGCTATTTATTAGTAGTAACACCATTTCATCTGGTGCTTGTGTCGCTTTATATGAATGGTTAAAGGCAGGTATAAAATTGGAAAAGTTAGACTTGTGTATTTGATCCGTTTATTATTAAGGCTTTGGAGCCTTTGGAACTTTGAGCTGATTGTGGAAAGCGATCGGGTATATGGTGGTCATACAAAGCTGTGCCTACTATTAGGTCCATAAATAAGAATGTAGTCAATGTACCAGGCTACAAGACCATATAAATACATTATTATTATTATGATTATTATTAATATTTTAGACTAATGAAATAAATTCTTAGACTAAAAAAAAAAGACATTGAGCACTAGCAACACAGGCTTCCGGCTTTTAGAAAACTTCATTACTCTTTCTCAAAAAAATAAGGAATTTAAAAACTGTACCGTTTTCATACATATTGTTATTGTCCATTAGGGTTAAGAAGTAAATCAAAGGAATATCTTTGGGCATAGCTCGCATTGCAGCTCTTTTCGACTTACGAAATTGTTCAGGAAATATTGAATTCTGAACGTTAATGGGAGATGAACATTCTTCACGTCCATTAGAGTTAGACTAATTTTGTTAACCAACCGAAATGAACCGAAATGAATACTTCTTATCTGTTTCCTTGGCATTTCTTTGGAGAACTTACCATACTCAAACGTAATATAAAGTGGTTAAGTAAGTAATAGCCGCTTGTCTAACAAAACTGCCTGTTATTTTCCAAAAAAATTTTATTATTAAATTAGTCAATAGGTGACACGATTTCAAATTTTAAACAGAGTACCAAACCAATGGTACATATTGTTTACATTATGCTTCGAATCTTAGTAATATTTTTTTCATATGGTAACACTGTTTCGTAAGTTTCTTTTTGAATTTACAAAATATTCGGAAAGTGTATTAAAATTGCAGCAGGAATTATTTAAGGACATTGCTCGCTTCATTTAATAGTGCTAAAATGGACATTGACGTCGCCACTTCAGATTATTAAACAATGATCAAAAGTCCTGACGTTTTACCTGCGACTTCAACGAAAAGAGCTACTAATACCATAAGGCAAACAGGGAGAATTGGTTTCGATGATTTAAAGATATAAAACACTTCACTTTCTAGGTATAGTTCAGGCATCGAAGCGAATGGTTTTAATGTTGCTGTTACAAATGCGATGCCAGCATGTCCTAGTGGTTCTGGACCCTTTTCAGGAATTAATTGTAGCCCACTCTCTGAGTTATCTTATGTCATCAGCTCTAATTCGACCGGTCTTCCAACATTTGTGCCACAATTAGATCAAGAGAAAACCCAAACTGTTAATTACAAAGAAGTGAGTGGAGAAAGGAAAGCTTTCAAAAGCAGGTTATCACAAAGTATGGAAGACTTGAAATCGATATCATATACTTGGTCTTGCAAACTATATGAACCGTCGCGTCTGGTATCAAATTTTTCAGTTAGTAATTTTTTCACTTCTATACCGAACAGTAGTGGCAATGGTTTGCGAGATACTAGTGGATTCTCGTCGTCACAAATACGCTACAAGCACTTCAAGAGATCTTCGGATCCGCGGTATTATTCGGGAACACCTCGGTTGGGAGCGATAAAAAGAAGGCCGGAGTTAAGAAATAGTGTGAATAATTCATATGTTTCCTCGCAGCCTCTTGCGAAGATGAGACTAAAACGGGCTGCAATCGCAGCAGAAGACAGTCGTTTTCTTCATTATCGAATGGTGATGCAAACGATAGTGGCTGTTGCTATTTTACAATTCCAAGTGTGTCTGGATTAATGGCTTCCTCTCAGAATAATAACCAAAATTCTGCCTCAAACTTAGTTGGACTGTCGGATGACGTCTCATCGTTAGAATTATCCAAATTATCGCTGAGTTGTGAAGGCGAATCACCGATAAGCGATATGAATCTAATTAGTGGTAACGATGATTGTGGATGCGTCAATGATACTCTGATTAATGAGATGAAGGAGTAATACATTTTCTGTTGCTGATGCTCGAATACGTCAAAAAATTACTCTTCTTTGTTGTTTTATATTTTATTTAGTGCCTTATAAATGAACGTATATTTTATATCACTACTTACCAGCAACTGTTAATAGTAGTTTTTCTTTCAGAACAAGAATAGAGCTTGAAAAACATGGCAGGAATTTCACACAAAAACATTGTTTTTATACCTTACATCGCTTGTGGTGCAGGATGTATTAAGTTAGGCGTGTGTAGCACGCAGAAGGACTTAAGATAGATCAATCTTTTTTTCATACGGGTCGAAACAGAATCATTTTCTGAATCGACGTACACCTGTCTGTCCCTCTGTCTTTCTGTCCGTCAGATATCTGTCCATGTGAGTGGCACATGTCTCCAGGTAGTTCTATTTTTTGGATACCATCCTCCAATACGTGGGCTTTTACGAAAAGTATGTCTTCGCATGAAAATAATGTGTTACGTTTGGTGTATTATTAAAAAAATGAGAGAATAATTCTGTTATGCGAACTGTGTGCAGGGTACTTAATAGTCGGTCTTGCCCGACTATGACGTCCTTTTTCGGTTAGTTATTTGTGATAATATGTAATAAAAATCTTAAGAGAGTATTTTTTTAACAATTCTTTCTTTATGGTTATCCCTGTCGTACTTGTGAACCCGACTTCCCCCTTTTTCCACATCTGTTTAAATTTATTGCAATAAGGCTGAACATTATAGTTTTGCTGTTTACGTTATCTTCCTCGGCATTACCGAGGTACGTTGTTTTTCTTAAACTGTTCT